CACGTCTTTCTTCTTGTCTCCCCTCTCCCCGTCTCTCTTCTCCTCCCTACTCCTGTCTCTCTTCTCCTCTCCCTACTCCCTCGTCTTTCTTCTTCTCTCCCTATTACCCGTCTCTCTTCTCCTCTCCTATTCCCCTCCCTATCTTCTCCTCTCCCTACTCCCTCGTCTCTCTTCTCCTCTCCTTACCCCCTCATTTATCCATTATTTGATCCCCACCTTTGCAGTTTTTCCATTTAGATGTTGGTTCGAGTCTAACGTTCAAGAGATCACCCTCAAAACCCGTCAGTTCTCAGTGTGTCTAACTCCTCGAACTCAAATATTCCAAGTCCATTTTTATTACCTCGTCTGTCGTAGTGGAAAACGACTAGAGGGCGTCGTTGTCGTTGAGTCGTCGCTTGTTGTGTCTTTGTTGTTATTATAATCGTCCAAACAAACACACACACACACACACACACACACACACACACACACACACACACACACACACACACACACACTTTTCTCACAAGACGCTTTTTGCCCGGTGAAGGTGGGCGCGTGGGAGACCAAAGAAGCTTAGTAGTGTCCTGAAGGCTTACGCAGGTGTTGAGTCCGACTGTAGGAAAATCTCCCAATTAGTATTTGGAAGAAATTGGCAAAAGAAAAAGGTCACAGTTATATCACGGCATTAGTGTTTGGCAGAGAGAGAGAGAGAGAGAGAGAGAGAGAGGCTTCCCCCACACACACACACAAAAACCCACAGTAAGGGAGACAATTTAAAACAACATCCAGGGAGGTAGGTAATTAGCGTGTTTATCTGGACACATAGTTGACGTGTAACATAATTATATACTGTAATAATCTCGTTTTCCTCGTGGTGTGTGTGAGGAACCCTGTAAAATTAATGTTATGGTTTATGTTAATTTATATTTGTTTTGTGTCTTTGTGCATGAAATGTATTTATAAAGGTGTTTTGTTATGATTGCCCAAACGGCTAGTTAACTGTTAAGTGGTGGAATGTTAAGTGAATATATATATACATACGTTTGATGTTTGAGGAAATATTGGACAAACGTAGGTCAAATCCAATGTCATTGTCACATTTAGAAAACTGTATTTTATATATGTCATTATTTCCTTGGCCAGCTCCATATAGCATAGAATACAATTACATCAGATACCGTGAACAGAATTAGATGTATAGATGTAGAACTTGCATTAAGCGTAAACATAAATAAAATACTTGTATTGGTAACTATGATTATGGCGAGGTCCGACAGAATACACGCCCCAACTCAAATATACAAGTTATCCCATTCACGTCTTCGTTTTCTGTAAATATAGGACGAGGATTTGTCATAGAAAATATACTTTTTGAAAGGAGGACTATTATTTTTAGGCAAATCTTCCTATATATCTATCTATCTATCTATCATCCCACCCTCTTTCCACATTCCTATATAATTGGCATAAAGTAGTGTTTTATAGTTTCTTATACCATACGGTTTATTAGTCATAATGGACACTAGCCAAATTGTATTATACAAAATGTATATAATTTCTGTGTATCAGGTGTAATTTATAGCAACTGTACTTGTGACCTATAATAAAGAGTCAATTATATTTTCTCGAGGGTCCCTGTTAGAGCAGATTATATAAATACATATTTCTCACTATTTTCCCATTCTCTCTCTCTCTCTCTTTCTCTCTCTCTCTCTTATCCACACATACCCTCATGTACACTCTCTTACCCGTATACGCTCACTTTCTCTCAAGTTCTCTGTCACACTCACTCTCACTCACTTTCTCACACTCACTCTGTCCCTCAAACACTCCCACACTTACACACTCCCTCTCTTGCATACTTTCTCAGTCATACTCACTCATACTCTTCCACTCTTACACTCTCACACGTACACTCACTCTCCCGCTTATACACTCTCTCACTCACACTCACTTTCCCATTCACACAAACAACCTTCTTAACAAATATACCAGCGACACCATTAAGACCTACCTAATTTTCTTTAACTCAGTCAACCCTAAACAATGGCCGCAAACTCCTGGGCCAGATTCTGAAAGGTTCTTACGAAATTTTTTCCACGCCGTAACTGGGACTAAGATAACGCATTTAGTTACAGTAAGATTATCAATGCAGTTTCCACCCCATTTTCTTGACGTTAGGTTAGGTTAGGTTTGGTTAGGTTAGGTTAGGTTTGGTTAGGTTAGGTTTGGTTAGGTTAGGTAAGGCTCCGTCGGTAATTACGATGGTGAATGCAGTAGCTTACGATATTATTTAGAATTTATCTTTCTGCCACAATATAAAAGAAGTAGTTAGTTTCACATGTACTCCAGATACGGGGACAAATTTAACGTACGATCCTGTGAGAATCCATCATTGTGTCGTATCGTAGAATTTCAGTTAAGAGAATGATATTATATAAGAGATTGAGAATTCGGTCCCTGGTTGCCAAATTTGCATAGAAAACGTAACTATGTAAACATTGACAAGTGCTTTTAAAACCTTGAGTCGAGAGGCTGACACCTATTGTGTACCACGTTAATTGTGGGAAGGTGGTGGTGTGTGGCAGCAGTCGGGGAGGAGAGGAAGGGGCGAAGGTGTGGGAGGGGATGAGGGATGGGGAGAAGAAGAGGGGAGTGAGGAAGGTGTAAGAGGGGATGGAGGATGGGAGGAGAGGAAAGAGTGAAGAAAATGTGTTGGGGGATGAAGGATGGAAGGAGAGGAAAGGGCAAAGAAGATGTGGGAGGGGATGAGGGATGGGGAAGAAGAGGAGGGGATGGGGATGAGAAAATGAGGAGAGGGAGAGAAAGAGAGGGTGAGGAAGGCGTGAAATGGGATCAGGGATAGGGAGAGGAGGAGGAAAGGAAGAAGGGGTGAAAAAGACATGGATGGGGGATGGGGGATGGGGAAAAGGAAAACAAGTATAGGATGTAGTAAGGGATGGGGAATGTGGTGGTCGTGGGAGGGGAGGAGGGGGTGAGGAAAGGAGAAGAAAAAATATCAAAGAGAATAAGGAATGGAAAGAGGAATAGGAGAGACTGTGGGAAGGTTGAGTGGAAGGAAGTCAGGGAAAGATGAGGAGAGAGAGAGTATCAGTATACAGTATATATAGTAACACACGTCCTTCAGTATAATTTGACCCAATAATCACTGCACCACATGATTGACTCAGTGTTACATCATCCCCTTGCGGTGTTCCTACTGAGGCGTTATTTTCAGTGTTATTCTTGCGTTACTTTCACTTGACGTAATAATTTCCTTCGCGGTTATTCCTTATAGTACTGCGTTGCGTTATTTGACTTACTAAACCTTTATTAGGACGTTATGTTCAACGTTATTCTTGCGTTATTCTTACGTTTCTCTCACCAGACCTTTTCTTTGCTATTCCATATAGTCTTGCGTTATTTTGACTTACTGTAAACACCCTTCCTTCCTTCCTTCTTTCCTTCCATCGTTCACTCTCTCCCTTCTCCCACCCCTTCCTTATTCCCTCTCTCCCTTCTCCCATCCCTTCCTTATTCCTTCTCTCCCTTCTCCCATCACTTCCTTTTTCCCTCTCTCCCTTCTCCCACCCCTTCCTTATTCCCTCTCTCCCTTCTCCCATCACTTCCATATTCCCTCTCTCCCTTCTCCCATCACTTCCTTTTCCCTCTCCCTTCTCCCATCCCTTCCTTATTCCTCTCTCCCTTCTCCCACCCCTTCCTTATTCCCTCTCTCCCTTCTCCCATCCCTTCATATTCCCTCTCTCCTTCTCCCATCACTTCTTTTCCTCTCTCCTTCTCCCTCCTTCCTTATTCCTCTCTCCTTCATTCTTCTCCTATCACCCCACCCTTCTACCAACCCTCCTCCCTCCCTCCTTTCCTCCTCCCTTACTTCACTTGCTCTGCCTTAACTAGCATGAACTACTATTACTGACGCACACTAACCGACCCGTGGGGAGGGAAGGGGAGCGGAGGGAAGGGGAGGGGAGGAGAAGGTAGGGAAAGGTAGGTGTGTATAAACTTGCATGCGTGTTTGTGTGAAGCAGTTGGTCTGTTTTACTATTTGTTAATGTAGTTGAAATTATGATAAAAACAATAGGAATATACAACTACTATTCTTTTATTTTTACTACTACTACTACTACTACTACAAGTAATAACACACACACACACACACACACACACACACACACACACACAGACAGAGGCGGGCGCGCGCTTCTTATTCCAGGTTTAAAAAAGTGAAGGTGTGTTTTATGGCCTGTTTTAGAGAGTTCAATTCCATACAGAGTGTTTTTATGAGGCTTTTGTGTTATTGTTTGATGGAGGTGTTTTCTTTTCGGGTGTATGGAAATGTGTTTTATCTTGGTGCTTGTGTTTGTGAGTGGTGAAGGGTGAGGAGGAATGGGGGTAGGGAGTGAGGGAAGGAGTGTAAGGGGAGTGGAACGTAGAGGTGAGGGAGGAGGGAGAGAGAATGAGGAGGAGAGGAGGAAAGTGGAGGAAGAGGAGAGGAGGGAAAAGGATGGGATGAGGGAAGAGGGAATGGTAGGAAAGGAAGGGGATGGTAGGGAGGACAGGTGGTAGGGTTGGAGGGAGTAAAGGAGGTGAGGAGAGTTAGCTACAGAAGTTAGCGATTAAATGAGAGAATAAAGAGATAAGGAAGAAGAAGAAGAGAGGTAGAACAAGGAAATAGAATAAGGTAAACGGCTAATGAAGGAGAAGGAAGAATGACATTACCAAATGGAGAGAGAGAGAGAGAGAGAGGGATTAACAAGCATGATAGAGAGAGAGAGAGATTAACAAGTGTAAGAGAACAATAAAGAGTGAGAATAAAAGGGAGATGAGAACTGAAAGAGAACAAGACGAGATATAAAGCATTGCAACCTGGATATAAAGCAACAAGATAATCAAATTGCCAGAGACAATTCCAGGGCTGGCGTAAAACTCTGGTGCGCCTGGCGTAATTTGGACGTAGGCGAGCGAATCAACGCTTCCATTAAGCTCTCTATGAATACGCAATGAAGAGCACCCTAGACCATTCCCAGAGACCCCAGACCATCCCCATAGGACCCCAGACTACCCTTAGAGGACCCCAGACCACCCCAGAGAACCCCAGATCACCCCAGGGGACCCTAAACCATTCCCAGACTACCTCAGACCAACCCAAACCACCCTTTGATCACCCCCAGAGACCCCAGACTACCCCTAGACCATCCCTGGACCACCCACGTCCCCTCATGCCCCCCTTAAACCAGACCATTCCAAAGGATTCAATACCCCCAGGCCCCCGGACAACCCCAGACCACCTCTATACCACCCCTAGACCACCCCAGACTGAGCTAAGACCACGAAGTCCCCCCAGAGTACCTTTGACTACGGACTTATTATGCTTTAATTATTAGCCAGAAAGTATTAATTATTTGATGGATTATCGACGAGGTGAAGTTATGTCACGAGGGTTAATTAATTATCATCAGCCCTGGATTATTGTGCGGGTTTATGATAGTTGGGGATGAATTATTAACCAGTAGTGGGAATTATTTGACCTAGACTGAATTATTAACCAGTAGTGGGAATTATTTGACCTAGACTGAATTATTAACCAGTAGTGGGAACTATTTGACCTAGACATAATTATTTGACACTAAATAGATTATCAGATCCAGACAGAATTATTAGACCCGGATAGAATTACCAGACGAACTAATTAAGAGCTAACGACACCTCCCCAAGGCCCCTCCACCACCACACTGTTGTTATGTGGAGTTATAACGAGAGAGAGAGAGAGAGAGAGAGAGAGAGAGAGAGAGAGAGAGAGAGAGAGAGAGATTTACACTCACCGATTTACATCTATTTCACTTACCAATTTACACCGATTTACAACTATTCCACTTACCTATTTACACCGATTTACAACTTTTTCACTTACCGATTTACACCGATTTACAACTATTCCACTTACTAATTTGCATATATTTACAACTATTCCACTTACCGATTTACACCGATTTACAACTATTTCACTTACCGATTTACACCGATTTACAACTATTTCACTTACCGATTTACACCGATTTACAACCATTAACTCTCTCTGATTTACAACTATCTCACCTAACCAACTACAGTATACAATATTCCATTCACCAAATTAAGACCCCGATCCAGACTTTCCAATTACTGAGCGACTGATTTTGTCAAGGGGAGAAAGTGGAAGCCTTCCTCATTAGAGCCGACAATATTGTATCAGATAGAAAGGAGAAAGAAAACAAGTAATTAGAAAATCTCCAGATGCTTTCTAATGAACATAGGATCTTTTAATTTAATTTTCTTTCCTATTTGTTTTTTGTAGTTTTCTTTTTTCTTTTTTCTTTCTTTTTTTAAATTAAGTATCATGTTTGTAGAATTTGATCGAGAGAAAGCAAGCTAATAATTATAGAGTGTCCAGATGCTTTCTAATTGTATACCGTTGTTGTTGCTTTCTCCCATCATCATTATCATCATTATTATCATCATCATCATTATCGTCATTATCATCATTATCACCTACAACAATATCATCATCGCATACAACAACAACAACATCAACACCATCATCATCATCATCATCATCATCATCATCATCATCATCATCATCATCATCATCATCATCATCCTATTGCTTATATTACCATTAATAATTGAATTTGGCATCATTCAGGTGTGTGAGTCTATTCTCGCTCATATGCACAGCTTCACTAAGGTCTTGAGTCCCATACGTCGCTGTGGGATATTTACCTGTATGTTGACAGTAATTAGCGGGGAGCCAGGTAACGTTATATGTTATTAATTAAGTTTATTATTGTAATGCAGGTGAAGGAGGGAGTGGAGGGAGGGTAGGAGGGAGGGAGTGTGGGTGTGAGGAAAGGAAGGGGTGAGTGTGAGAGAGGGGAGGGAAGGAGAGAGAGGGTGGAGGGATTGGGTATCGGAAGTGGATGAGTGAGGGAGGGAGATAGGAACTTTGTGCAGGAGGGAGGTAATGTGGGAAGGGTGGATGGAGGAAGGGATTGAGTAATAAAGAAGGAAAGGAGGGAGAAAGGGATGGAGTTGGTGTGGGAGGGAAGAAATGATGGTGGGATGGAGATAATGGTAGAAAGAACGACTGGGGGAAATCTAGAGAGAGAGAGAGAGAGAGAGAGAGAGACTGCATTCGGAAGGGAGGGAGAGAGTGAGTGATTACGGAAATGAGGGAAGGACGAGGTGGCTAAGATCAAGACATCACCTTTATGATACAGTCACCACATGGGGAGGAGAAGGGGGGGGAGGGGGCTAATTACTGTACCTGTACATTACACCTGAACCTGTGCTCTTACACCTGAATAAAGTTCCCACACCTGATTCTAATTGCATGTTGCATTGTACATTACATTTTACGTTCAACTCTGTACACAAGAAATCATCCGTGATCCCTATTTGACCCCTTAATTGGACTTAGTCGTTGTTACACTCCGCGATATTGAGTTTTGTGTTGATATAACGAGCAGGGACTGAGGTGTTGATAAAAAAATGCAGAGTTGTATTGCAATCTTGCACGTGTCAAACAGCAGCAGCGTTGTTTGCTGCTTTGTTGAGCTTGTGTTGACTGTGGGGGTGAAGCACTTTATACTTGGCACTGGGTGTTTGTATATCTGATTTTTTTTTTATTTGTGTTTGTTTAGCTGTGTGACTGTTTTTCTTGACTTTTGTTTGTGTGTGTGTGTGTGTTTGTGTCTCTTTCTGTCTCACTGTCTGTTTGTGTGACTGTCTCTCTTACCGTCTGTCTCCCTGTTTGTCTCTCTGTTTATATGTCCCATTCCTCTCTGATTTTCTGTTTGTCTATATCCTGGTCTAACTATATTTATCTTTCTATCTATTCCTGTCTACTGTTTGTTTGATTATATTTGTGTCTGTCTATCCATCACCATGTCTTTCTTTCTATCTGTCTCTCTTCTGTCTCTCTGTTTGTACGTCTCGCCCCACCCAAGCACGGTCATTACCTCGTCACCTAACGGAGTGTCAGGCGCCGTTCTTCTTAACACAGATTACCGTTCATATATTCACACTCGATAGGTGACGAGCCGGACGTTCACTGTTTGCCGTAGACTGATAGGCGTTCAATAGTTGCCGTTAACAGACAGGCGTTCACCAGTCGATCGCAAATTGACAGACGTTCACCAGTCGTTAGCAAACTGACAGGCGTTCAGTGGTAGACCGTAGACTGACAAGCTTTTACAAATTGACCGTAAACTGACAGGCTTTCACTCTGTTGCAGACTGACTGACGTTCACTAATTGCCTTAAACTGACAGATGAGGATTATTTGACAGGTTAAATTCATACACCTGTGGAACACACTTGGGGTATACCTGGGTGTAGGTGGGTGGTTGTGGTACACTGTAGGAGGAGGGTGAAGCCGTGGTGTTGGCGGGTGATTGTGGTGCACTGTAGGGGGAAGGTGTAGCCGGGGTGTAGGTAGGTGTAGGTGTAGCAAAAGGGTGCAACCGTGGATTTACGTGGGTGTAGGTGTAGGAGGAGGGTGCAGCCGTGGGTGTACTGATATGTGTAGTGAGGAAACACATAAGAATGATTAGGGTGACTACCAATACCACTACTACTACTACTACTACTACTTTTTTTAACGTGGCCTCCAGCCTTCCCCAATAGCAATACCTTCGCCGCCATTTTATTGCATTGAAATTAATTATCCTAATACAAAAGGAGCTACTCTACCTGTGTTGAGTTAGTTGAGCCGCAGATCTATGTGGCATTCAGTGACTGTTGCCTCATAGTCAATATCTGCGACCGTTATCCTGCTTTGGGACCAATACTACAACCGTTGATCCTGCTTATGGTAAAGTCTCCCTACATTTTCAGCCTCATTTTGGCCGCCATCTTTGCTTCAGAGCGTAAGTTAGTCAGTAAAATATGTTCTTACACCATCAGTTAGGAGGTAAATTTACCCTACGTATCTTTAAGAATCATTATTTACATCAGAGCTTATGTGAGACAGCTAGATGGGTTCTCACTTCACCAATAACAGGAAAAATTCAGTAATCGAAGCCTTAAGAATCAAATCTTTGTTTCGTAACTTAAGTGAGCCAATGAAATACGCTGTTACATATCCAGTTAAGAAGGAATTTCATCGTGAGAGTGTATGTGAATCCATTTTTTGTGTGGTAGTTTAAGCGAGTCAGTAAAAGACGTTCTTGTTTATCCAGTTAGGGAGGAAATTTATCGTAGGGACCTTTGAGAATCAGGGAGCAACCAGACCTTGGACTCAACGTGGACCACAAGTGAACGTGTACTACATATACAGTATACCTAACACACAGTCACTAGCCAGTCATCCTAGCCAGTCTGTGTGACGTGACTGTGAGATGGTGACTGTTTGTGAGGGAGGTGGTGAGAGACGAGGAGAGACGAGAAGGAGGAAGGGAGGGGGGCTTAATTCATGACCCTCCCCCCCTTCCCTCTCCTCCTTTCCTCCCCCTCGCCACCACCCTTTCTCCTGTCATCCCCTCCGTTTATGTCAAAAACTCCTTTCCCCCTTCCCTATTCCCCCTTTCCCCTTCCCTCTCGTCTCCTCCCGCCCCCCTCGTCACAGATGCTGATTACGCCAGCACCGTCACCTCTGCCTCGTCATTATAAGACTGTGATTATGACCCACGTGATGCTGGACTGTTCTCTCTCTCTCTCTCTCTCTCTCTCTCTCTCTCTCTCTCTCTCTGTTTGGCTGTTGCTATATTTCTCTTTCTATCTGTATTTTTCTATCTCTCTATCTATATATATTACTCATAGTCATCTCCTACAGCTATCTCTCACATATACATATTTATCTATCTGTCTATTTATCTATCTATCAATATATACACTTCTTGTTTATATCATTCTTAGTAACTATCTCTTTCACCATCTTTCTCCCACACACACACACACACACACTCACACACACACACACACACACACACACACACACCTTTCCAACATAACATCCAGTGGGAATTAGAACGATATCTCCAGAGTGGCGGTGTTTTCCTCCTTGCTGACCAACACATTCCTCCCAATACACCACCATGCAGACCAGTGTTCGTTCAAGCATTCATACACACGTGCGTAAACAACTTCTCATTCACACAAACACCCGCATGGTCACTTGTGGATGTAAACACGAGGTTATGAGTGTTAACATACATATTAATTAGAATTGCATAAAGGTAAATACCAGGTGTGAAGGAGGTTTATTTAACTGTTTATGGACGTGTATATGTAAGCACTATGTTAATGTACGTACATGCGTGACTGCTTGTGCTTAAAAGGCTTGACTCACACTCTTGTTCGCACACGCATACATGTTAGCACCCAGAGAGACAGATTTACACACACAC